CCTGCTGATTCAGTGCATCAGGATGGGCAGGAGCCAGCACAGAGGAGCTGGCGAGGGAGAGAAGTCGGTCATTGGGCACTGGCTGCAACTGGGGCAAGGAGAGCTCTGGGGGTCTCTCCAGTGGAGCCAGGGCTGGGACTAAGCCCCCTCCCCATGGCAAGAAGGGAGTTTAGGGGAGAGGAAGGGCAGGTGAGATCCCTTTGCCCCAAGAAATCCTTCTCCTTGTGCCTGTTCCAGGGGTGGAGAACACAATCTCCTGAATCCACAGGGAAACAAACTTCCAGAGAGCTGTTCCCAGCCAGTGCATCCCGGTGTGGTGATTCCTGGGTCCTTACGAGCATCCCCGTGCCCAGAGTGCAGCCACCACAGCTCTGTTAATATTCTGCACTTCTCCTGGCTTGTTTTGGTGTGTTTTTTTCTGGGGAGAGAATAATGGAAGCTACAAGTTGTCTCTCCTTTCTGCAGTGTGTGCTCCCATCCTTGCACGGAGTAGATAAGCCTCGCTCTGCAAATTAAAATTTAAATCTCTCCAGTGCTAAAAGAATTATCTCAGTGGTATATCAGCTTAGTGCCTCTCCCTCCAAATAAAGTTCTCCAAGGCCTTTTGTGGCAAAAAAACCAATATTTATTTTTTTTTCCTTGTCTATAAAACACATGAATGTTATGCTGGTGAGGTGATGCCCTGCTCCCAGACCAGGGACTGTCCCTGCCCCAGGGCAGGGTCCCAGAATGTACACAGCGCTACCAGTCACGGGCATATAATTAGTCTGTATTTTTAGTTCATGGGTAGTTCTCAACAGTAGCTGGGTCTATTAAACTTGATTCAGATGTGACAGCTTAAATTGTAAACAGCTGTGAGGAGTTTCATACTTAATTACCATATTTAAGTTTTTACCATAAAGCGTTTGCACTTCCATCAAAGATGTAAATAGCTCTGACATTCAAATGAGCTCTCCTGCTTCGCAGGGCTTAATTGGCACCGATGGGTTTGCTGGGTCCCCTCCCGCACAGGAGTGCCTGGTTTTTGGGGGATGCCTGTGCTCTGGTCACGCTCCCCCCAGTCGCCATCCCCTGAGTTACCAGGGGCTGTGGGTTATGGACCTGGATCTGGTTTGTTTAGTTTTGCAACTTCGTAAAACAAACTCAAGCCTCAAGGCTCCTGCGACGTGCCAGCCTCGCAGTGTTCCTCGTTATCTCCTTGCACTTAAACTGCTCGTGAGCTTTGCCGTCTCCTAATGAAACTGGCATTTGTGTCACTATTTATACATCTCCTGCAACTCGGGCTATTTAAGGTGGTGGGTTGGTTTTTTTTAATGCTGCTCAAGCTCTCTGCTTGGGGAGGAACAGAGTGACTGAAGGTGAGGGTGTCCCCGCTCCTGCTGCAGCCCTGGCTGTTGGTCTAAGGCAGCGAGACCCCAGCTTAGCTCAGGGGAGCCAAGGGAAGACCCCGGGGTCTGTCTCGTCCTGCCTCCCAGATTGCTTCGTGTTGCAGAGAGCTACCAATTCGCTGTGTTTTGCCCCGTTGTCTGTTGCTCTCGGAGCATCCTCGTGTGTGTGGTTGTGCACAGCGCTGGGGAGGGACGTGCCATAGCTCTGCACATCCCTCCCTGGCTCTGGCATGGTCAAAAGGTTAGTGTGCTACTTAGATGGGATGTGAGGAAGAATTTCTTTGCTGAAAGGGTTCTGAGGCATTGGAAGGGGTTGCCCAGGGCAGTGGTGGAGTCCCCATCCCTGGAGGGATTGAAGAGTCGTGTAGACACAGTGCTGAGGGACATGGGTTAGTCGGGGACTGGTCAGTGTTGGGTTCATGACTGGACTCCATGATCCTAAAAGGCTTTTCCAATCCAGGCCATTCTGGGATGCTGTGACAGCAGCGTGGGCCAGGGCTCAGTGCTAATTCCCTTTGAGATGTTGGTGGTTCTGGCTCTTCTCTCCCTATCTGTCAGTGCGGTGCCTGGGACAGCCATGTTCCTGCTTTCTCTGTCTTCCCATTACACCTAAAGACGTGTCTACAACGAGCTGCGTGTCCTACACGGAACAAGTCTCTGCTTCCATCAATATTTGATCACCACTCCCCAGCCAGGCGGGGAGCGTGCGGAGCAGAGGACTGGCTGGGTCCAGGTTAACACGAATCCACAAAGCAAAACCTCCAAATGATTTAAATCTACACGAGGACTTGTTGATTAACCTCATCGCTGTCTTTGCAGGCACAAGCAGTCACCCTCACTGTAGCCCAAGCCTTCAAAATCGCATTTGAGTTCTGGCAGGCAGCTAAGGAAGGTGAGTCTCTTTTCCCTTTTCCTACTCTTGACGTGAAAGTTCAAGGGCTGATTTGGGGTTTTTTTCCAGCTTTCAAGTGCCTTTTTCCCTCACCCTCCAAATTTCCAGGCTGCTGTTAAGGTTGGTCTAACCTCTGCTGTGATTTAAGGCATCTTCCAGGTTTCTCTCGACAGCCTTGTAAATCCAGCTGAGCTTTGGCTGCGCTCCCGTCTCGCAGGCGGGTGCAGAGGACCTGGTGTTTGTCTGTGGTACCTCAGGCTTGCTGCTGCCAGGATTTTTGCTTTCACCTTCCACAAGATTATAAAACATACCCAGAGCCTGGGCTGCTGTGGGAAGAGGAGACCTGGTGGCTCATCCTAGCTGTCCTTCCATCCCTCCTCCCAAAAGGCTTGTGAGCTCCATGAGCAGTGACGGGGTCTCCTTCTTTTGCAGAGAAGGAGAAGCGGGAGAAGTCCATCTTGGAAGGAGAAGGGACAAGCAGCCCCAGCTCGGACACCCCTGCCCATCCTGACACACGTAAGTCACCAGCAGCAGAGCTTGGCTTTGGGCTCAGGGATGGGGAATGTGAGGTCTGTGGGGTTTTCCCTGAACGGGGCAGGTTCCTGGGAGGACACTGAACACCAGCGAGGAGCAAATGTTTTTATCGTAGCAGAGATATTGCCCTCAGCAGAGCACTTGGAATGTGCTTGGGATATTTGCCAGGTCCTTCCATCTCCCCCCCCACATATCTCATGCTGCCCCTCATCCTCAGCTCCTGCCACCCCAAATCTGTCCACAGCAAGTGGGCTGGAATGTCCTTATGAGCTTAGCATGGACCCCCACGTCCCAGGTTTGATTTCAGGTTTGTCTCAGACCTGAAAGACCATGCCGGCGGCTCCAGAAGATGGACATCCAGGTGCCATTCTGTCTCCAGCTCCCCTAAGGAAGGAGAGGTGTATGAAAATAAAACAATTAAATAGTAAAACCCCTCATAATTCAGTGCCTGGCCGTGCTCTGCAGCCTCTGAAATGCAAGATGTGTAGCCAGGCAGAAGTGGGACAAAAGGCTAATCTCTCTTCCACGCTGGCCATGGAGATAAGAGGATTTGGCGCAGAGGAAAATAGCATTAAACTGGGCTTCCTTCCAGGCTGGCACATCTCATTTCTTCATGTGAAGGCCCAGGACTGGAGGAATCTCTCACAAGTGGTGGCACAATCAGGATGATGTGGGGCTGCCACGGGTGTAGGAATGGGCTCCAGCATCTGCCTGGGGGATGCTTGGCAGCTGGAGCACGTCTGCATTGCGCTTTTACTGCAGGGTGATGGGGACCACCTGAAGCTTCCCTGAAGCAACCCAGCCTGCAGTGTACCAGCAGCCCTCAAGCTACAAACTGCTCTTCACCCAACGCAGGATTTGCTCTTGGTCCTATAAAATAATGATGCATCTTTGTAAGATGCTGAATCGATGCTGTGGGCTGAGCTGAGGATATCACCAGGGGTCTGTTCCCACCCTGGGCTATGAAGCCCTGGGGTTGGGATGTCCTGAGGTTGGGATGTCCCAGCTCAGCCCAGGGCTGATCCTGACTCACCCTAGATGTGAGTGGGTACTCAGGAACTTCTCCTGATGGCTGCTGGAGGGATGAGCCAGCAGGTCCTCCCCTGCATCCCTATGGATGGGTCTTGGGTGCCTGATCTGAGCATCACAAATTATTCTGTCTGACACCACAGCCCCCGTTGGGGTGAATGCAGCTCCTGCTTCTGCACGTTAAAATTTGGGGCCATCCTGAAGGAATTAGATGCAACCCTTTGATTCTCCTCTTGAGAGGAAATGATTACTACAAAAAGGTTTGGTTTTGTGTCATCTCTGTTTTCCCCTCCCCTGCATCATTCCCTCTCTGCTCTGTTCACAGCAGCAGCCACGGGGAACTTGCTGGATTTAGAAGATCCATCCAAATCGCCCCTGACCAGCAGCACAAACTCTCCACACTTGGATAACAGCGTGTTTGGGCCCAGCTCCTCTGTAAATAACAACGTGGTGTGGGTAAGCGTGTCCCCAGGAAACTGCAGCATCTGTCAAGCCCAGAGGGTGCGATGCCACCTCAGTTTCCTGTGCTCCAGGTCTCATCCTGAGGCTTTTTCTTGGATAAGACCCCACAGGAGCTGTGGGGTGGCTGAGCTGTTCAGGTGGGGTTGCAGAGATGCCCCAGTGAGCTGGGTCTCAAAATGATCCATTAGTGTTTGAGTACTTGCTGCCCTTTTTAGTGTCTGTAAATACATGAATGAGAGTGTGAGGCACTCTGAGAAATGCTGCTGTCAGGTAATTGAATATTACTTATTCTCGAGCAGCGTTTCTCAGTGGTTTGTCACTTAATTGAGAGGCCACCTAACTGCTCTGTTCAGGGGAAAAAAATCATTATGTTGATGGCTTTTGTTTACCTTTCACTAAAACCAGGTTATAGTGATGTTCCTTATTACTCTTATTTTTCCCTCATTTTTGTTTGCGGCTGTATCTGGCTTGTGTGAGCATGGATGGCTTCTCTAAAATGTCCTCAGTCATCTGGCTTAATTGTTTCATGGACCACTAATAGAAAAATAATGACCCAGACCATGTGCCTGGGAGTGCATCCATTGAGGAGCCTCCCCCATGTCCAAGGGCTCCATCACTGACTGGGCTGGGGCTGATCTTCGAAGCCCCACTTGACCTGGGACCTCATCCCCACCACGTGCCCTCTCTGGAAACATGCCATCCCCTAAATTTTGGAGAATTGAATGATAAAGGTCTTTGTCTGAAGCCTGTTTCTTGAGTCTACCAGGTCTGAGCCTGAGGCTTTTCAAGTTAAACCTGAAGATCAACTCTATGCCTTATCAAATCCTGGAGGCTTATTTAGTCTCTGATCCCTCCCTTCTTGCAGAGTTTTCATATTTTAGATATTACATTAAATCTCTAAGTGCATCACAAGATTTTGGGAATAGTCAAGTCTGTCCATAGTAAAGCCCTCGAAACCTTGCTCCCCCCAAGCAACTCAAATGCTTTCCCTGGGAAACCTTAAGATCGGATCAGAGAAAAAGGATCCCAGAGTTGCTTCTGAGCAGCTCAGGTTCTCCCTGTGCTGATGCCGAGTTGTTTTCTGGGTTCCTGATCCAGAAAAGCCCCAGGGGATGCCTGCAGCATCTTGCTGAGCTCTGTCTGCGTCCCCCCTTTGCCCAGGAACCTGCAGCCTGTGCCAGTCTCCTGGCAGGAGCTGGAAGAGCCACGGGCTGTGGTTGACACCAGAGAGGATGTGGTCCAGCTGATGGGTTGGATCCAGCCCTTGCAGGCAACGGGACAGGATTACCCTGGTTTGGAGATGGTGGGAAAGGGCCAAGCCCCTGCCCCATCCCTGGACTGCAAGGGGAGCGCAGCATCCCTGACCTGAGCCCTGGGATCTGCTCCGTGGAAGCCTGGACCACCCAGAGTTATGCCTCTTACCTCAGGGCTTGTGCAGAGGGTGAGATGAAAGCTGCCCGAGGAGGCAGATTGCTGAGAGGAGTGTTGCTTGAAGCACTTGGAAATCAATATATATAATTTTTTTTATCTGACGTGCTCAAGCGCAGAGCTGAATCTCTAAATACACTTTTGTGCGTTCTCTTAGCAACTACTTCTCTCTCTTTTTATCTCTTTAACAAAGGAAATGGATGATGGTCTCGACGAGGCATTTTCAAGGTAATTCTAATGACTCCCTTTACAAGTTCACACCACCGGGGGACCAGCCCAGGAGACTTGACTAGTGACTGGCTTTTAATAATGCTTCTAATCTAATCAGCCACTGTGATCTGACCTAGGCAGCTGCCCCATCAGTACCTCGACTGTTAATTGAAAGATAGGCTTTGAGGCTGGCTGATAAGCCAAATATTTTGACAACCTTTTAAGGATGGAGAGAGGCTGGGATGTGATAGGGAATTTAATTCCCCAAGCAGTCAGTGTGTCCACTCCTGCTTACCAGGACGGTGTGAGGCTGCCTGTTTCCAGCCCTCACTCTAGCTGCGGTGATGCTGGTCCCAGCTTATGGCACAGGGGACTTTACCCTTCCTCATCCCTCCATGAGGTTTGGACTAACCCTGGGACCTCATTCCCATCTGTCCCCAAACCAGCAGCATCTGCTGAGAGCAGGCTCCCTGTTCCACCACTCCTTGTGGCAGCAGGGTTGCAGCAGGGCGATGCTGATGCACCAATTTTTAATTCATGCACCTGAGCACATTCCAAGTTCATGGCCGTGACCTCATTTGGCTTCGTCCACTCTCCAATCCAAATTAAGAGCTTCCTGCACGTGCACGCCGAGCAATCCAGCAATGTTAAACAAATCCTGCCTCTTTCAGGTGAGTTTTCCTGTCTGTCCCCGTGCAGGCAGATCCCCAGGGGGATGGGGACGCTGTAGGGTATGTGGGTCCTGTTCTCCAGATCAGTGTGTGAAGCTGCCCAGGCAGCGCGAGCTGCAGAGGTGATAATTTAGGCAAAGAGCTGCCTTGGGTGCGGGTGCTGCAGGGAGCAGAGAGCTGCCAGGCCCCCTCCTCTGTCTGGGAGATGCTGAGAGGAGTTGGGCAGTAGCAGGGCTGAGCACAGCGCTGTCACCTCCCTGAGAGCTGCTTGCCTCCACCAGGGTTTGCAGCAGCATAAAAAACCTGCACACTCAGCCCTAAGGAAACAGACCTTCGTGCCTTGTTTGGCTCTCAGGAACGATTTACGGCTTCCACTTCCACGGCAGCCCTGTCCCAAGTTGTGTTCGATAAAGGGGCTGCTTGAATTTATGTCTTCATGTCATCTGCTTTCTTCACCTCTGCTCCTTGCCCTACTTAATTAAGCAGATGTTGTTGGTTGCGGTCTTTTGTTTTGCATTGCTGGATGCCGAGCTGTCACGTCACCCTTGGCCTTCTGGTGACTCAGTGTTTGGACTGCTCATCCACCGAGGCGGGTGCTTCTGAAAGTGTTCCTGATGCACCATCATTGCTGGTCATTTTTCTTCTTTATTAAAAAACATGCGTGTGGCTGGTTTAATCTGAGGCTCGTTCGACACCGTGCCTCCGCTGGATGAAACACCGAATATTTGAGTTAACCTTTTGGCCCTGGGAGAATTGATGCTGCAGTGTTACATTTTCAGAGGTATTTAATAACATAACAACAAACTGGACCTCGTTAGGTTTTGTGAAACATCTGGGATGGGCTGAGATGAAGACCCTGTGGGCTATTAAACATCATCTGAGTCCTGCTGTGTCTTAACTTGAAGAGTTAAATGCTTGGGGGGTGCAGTGGGCAGCGAGCTACCGCACACGCTGCGTGTCCAGATACAGCACCATGAAAATTGAGTCATTGCAACGAGGCTGCTCCTTTGGTCAGTGGAGCCTTTACACTCAGATAAGATCCCAGCTAACGATGCACCTGCCAACAAGAGCTCGGGGAAGGAAAACAGCATCATTCTGCCAGACCATTAATATACGGGGTGTCCAGACTGCAAATTCCCTGGATGCCTGTAGGGGAAATGTTAGGATAAACCAGCAGCGAAGCTGCAACAAACTTGAGAGCTGCAGATGTTACGTGCCAGCTCTCCCCTTGCTGAATTATTTCCTGCCATTGGAGGATTTTGAAATGTGGAACTGCAGCTTGGGTTCAGCATTACAGCTGCATCAAGCATCCAGGCTCTGAACTGCCCAGATTTGTCTTCTTACTTTCTGTTTTTCTCCTCTCTTAGACTGGCTCAGTCGAGAACAAACCCTCACGTCCTCGACACGGGACTGACAGCTCAAGACATCCAGAGCGCAGAAACGCTCTCACCTGTAGACTGGAACAAAATAGAGTCCAACACAGGCGAGAAAGATGATCTGTTCATGTTTTGAGGTCAAACACATTGAAGAGCTGACAAGAGAAGAACCACTAAAAGTCTATGGACTGAATCGTGCTGTTGCGGGTGCTGTACGCGAGGGACTCTTCTGAGGGCTCTTCACCAAGTCAGGTGATGTTACAGCACAGTTTAGACCAAAGCTTTAGAAATCTAATGTGGATTTTTGTACGTTGCTTTTATCTAAACCACAAGATGCTCTTGAACATATTTATTCATAGCCGTTACAGTTTACATATATTATTGGAAGGTGTCTAGAGCATCTACGGTATTAGGTGGCATTAGACCATGAAAGAACCTTCAGCAGTGCCTGTTCCTCTCTGAAAAAAAGACTATGCAACACCAAAGTCTCCCTGTATATACTTCCCTAGACAAAGACCTGCAGATGCAAATGCAATTGCAAGCACAACTGTTACTAATCCACTGTTTCTTGAACAACACATCACCTGCCTGGGCGGAGGGGAGGAGATTTGCAGCAGCTGCTAACAGCGTTGAAATCAAAGAGGTAGCAGAGATCTTGCTTTTGTTGTGAATGTCTGTGATACTCTCACAGTTGTCAATCATCCCTATGTGTTCTGGCTGTTTCTTTGCCAGCTTTGTTATGGGAGTTGACACTTTTTTTACCCAAAGACTCTATGAAGTTTTGCACTTTAAAACTTGAACTGAAAGCAATGGTCCGAATTGTCAAGGTAAGCAGTGCCTGTAACTTCTCTTCAGAAGCTATTTACCTAAAAAAAACAAACCAACCCAGCAATAAGTCATAGAATGGTTTGGGTTGGAAGGGACCTTAAAGCTCATCCAGTTCCAACCCCCCTGCCATCAGCAGGGACACCTTCCACTAGACCAGGTTGCTCAAAGCCTCATCCAGCCTGGCCTTAAACACTTCCAGGGAGGAGCAGCCACAGCTTCTCTGGGCAACCTGGGCCAGTGTCTGACCACCCTCACAGCGAAGAATTTCTTCCTAATATCTAATCTAAACCTCCCCTCTTCCAGTTTAAAGCCATTTCCCCTTGTTTTGTCTCTACCTGCCGTTGTTAAAAGTCCCTCCCCAGCTTTCTCGTAGCCCCTTCAGGTACTGGGAGGCCGCTATAAGATCTCCCCGGAGCCTTCTCTTCTCCAGGCTGAACAGCCCCAACTCTCAGCCTGTCCTCACAGCAGAGCTGCTCCAGCCTCGTGGCCTCCTCTGGACTCGTTCTAACAGGTCCATGTCTTTCTTGTGTTGGGGGCTCCAGAACTGGACACAGAACTGGGGCCTCACAAGAGCGGAGTAGAGGGGGAGAATCACCTCCCTGCTGGCCACGCTTCTCTTGATGCAGCCGAGGATATGGTTGGCCTTCTGGGCTGCAAGTGCACATTGCTGGCTCATGTTGAGCTTCTCGTCCACCAGTGCTGCAGGTCTGTTTCAAACATGACTACTCATGTGCACCGTTTCTGATGCAACTCAAAATACTGAGGCTCCGTTGCACTGTTGGCTTTAAAAGCAAAACCACCGGGGAGTAACAATTTGTTTTGCTAAAGCACGTTGGAAGTTTGCAGGTTGGGTGAAGCCAGGAGCACGATAGATCTGTGTTCTTAGCCCCGCTAAGTGGATTTGGCTGTGCGTGCCTTTTTACTGTCTCAACACCATGTGGTTGTTGCTCACTCAATAGACTCAAATGGAATTGGATTAGGCAAGACCAATACCTGGATGTTCAATTAGCAAGAGGTGCCCCTTCCAGCCGTGCTCTGATCCTTTTCCCCCCTGACAGCCGTGTCTCTTATGAGGCTTGGGAAGCTGTCTTCATCTGCTCCTGGAATTGAAAATAAGTAATGGAGGCATAAAGCTTATGCTAATTAAAAGATTAAGTTTAATGATCCTAAATAGTCACACTGACAGTTTGCAGTGTTTGTGGCCTTATGTGAAGTATACTAATCTGTTTTATAGATTTGTAACTTGGTTTTGAAACACTAATTCATTCCCCAGATAGCTCTTTATAACTCTTTTAAAACTGCTTGCAGAGAAAAAAAAAAAGAAAAAGAAAAAAGAAAAACCTCTTTGTCAGCTGTAAGAATTTATTAGGAAACAGCTGAGTGACTCTAACTTAGATTTGATTCCTTTTCCCCCCCCCAAGTGGTGTTGTGATAAGGTATTGAGGGTTTGTGAAGCTGACTCATCATGTCTCTTAATAAAATGTGTGCTCTGTTTATCCTGCAAAATTGTGTTTAAAGCAATTTTACATCTCGAAACTACCATGCCCATGACTTATTTGATCTCCTGCGTACCATCAGTCTCTCGCAATTGCAGGAATTATTCCAAGTTTGTCTGTGCCACAGAGGCACACGGCAGAGACGTGAACCTATTGCATAAGCAACGCCAAAACCGCGCAGGAGTGGTGGTAGCGAGCGCCTTGTCCTGAGCCCAGGGAGTGCTGATCTTCCTGGGAAAGAGCTTGGGCTGCAGGAATGGACTGTGAGGATTTCTCTGTACATGGATCTTTCTCCTTTTCTAGAGACTCTAGGAGCGTCTAGTGAAATGCACAATGCTATCTATGTATGTATATAGTTTTTTAAGAAAACCTTCTGCTGTAAAGAATATCTGTACTGAGGAAAATAAAACTTCTACCATTTTTTGGAGTGTCTGTGCTGGGTGACTTTATTTTTACCGTGTAGAAGGTGTAGAAGCCTTTGTATTTCTAACTGTTTGAGTTTGCTGTCTCCCTCAGCAAGATTCTTTCCAGGGCCATCCAGGTGGGAAGACGCCTGCAGTTAGACACCAGCCCGCTGTGCTGCCTTCAGGAAACGCTTATGGGACTGGATGCAGCCACACAGGATGCACGGAGGGATGTGCCACGGCACAGGACCACTGCAGCCAGCCCAGTAAATCCATCCCTCCCTGAGCCCCTGCGTCACTGGATCGGCTCCAGGTAAGGGAGTGACAATGGATGAGAAGAGGGAGGTTGGTGCTTTGGGCTCGTCTGTGGGTAAATGTGGTGGTGGTAACATCAAAAATCAAAATGTCTTAATGGATAGAGTTGCTGAGTCACAAAATGCTTCTCCCTTGAGGGGGGGTTTAATTTGTACAGCTGCCTTTTAAATAAAAACAGCCCAGAGAGCCCAGCGCTGCCCTGCAACTTCTGCCTTTGCTGGCTCTGAGCAACCAGACTCCACAGCTACCGGCTAACCACGCTGGAACCACATGGAGAGTATTTATATTAATCAGCTGAATTGGCATTTGGCTCTGCCAAGGGGCTGTTCCATCTCCTATCCCCCATGGGCAGGAGATCCATGAGGGGCTCTTCCTCTCTTGCTCTTTCTGGCTTTCACTCGGGCTCTGGCTCTCCCGGGATTGCGGTTTCGGTTCAGGATTGTCGCTCCTCTGGGATCGTGATCTGGGAACGGGCCGGGCTTGGTCGGCGGGGGGGGAGAAATGGCACTGGGTGTTACTCATTGG